AGCAGTGTATGCTGTTCTGCCTCAAAAAAAAAAAAATAGGGTAAGTGTGAACAGCAGGCACACTCCAAGGACCGTGAATAAGGGAAGAGAAGCAAATGTTGACAAGAAATTCAGGAGACCCCTCCCCACACTTTACATCAGAAGAGAAACCTCAAAAGGAGAATGGTTGGCATAATAGAAAACATAGTCGTGTCAAGTAAGCGTTGGCCTAAAATCCACAGAGTAGAACATTGGATAAATGTATAATGTTTCTTGCCCAGATCTTCCTGGAAATACTATCTGTTGCAAAACTTTCTCCTATGAACTGTTTTTGGTTAATAGTTCAGGGATTTGGTTTCGTACCTTGGAGAGTTATATATCCAAGCATTTTGCTTGTCAGAACTATTTGATGGCTGTATTTGTAAAAGCAGTGGCTCAAATGTTTTTAGAAGAGATTTTCAGCTGGGCGGGGTGGCTCATGCCTGTAATCCCAACACTTTGGGAGACCAAGGTGGGTGGATCACTTGAGGTCAGGAGTTCAAGACAGCCTGACCAACATGGTGAAACGCTGTCTCTACTAAAGATACAAAAAAATTAGCTGGACATGATGACAGATGCCTGTAACCCCAGCTACCCGGGGACTGAGGCTTGAGAATCACTTGAACCCGGGAGGCGGAGGTTGCAGTGAGCAGAGATCTTGCCACTGCACTCCAGCCTGGTGACAGAGGGAGACTCTGATTCAAAAAAAAAAGAAGAGACTTTCAGAAGAATCTGTTCCAAAATGAACAGGGAGCAAGCTTTCTCATTGATAGTCAATATTCTGGCACTTCTTTATTTCTTTGGATGAATCAGAAACTCAAAAGGTTGAGATAGTCAGATAGGCCCATTTGAGTATCCAAGAGATCTACTGGACCAAGCAATCTAATTACGTGGGCAGTTCACTCTTTTACTCCTCCATCTTGAGAAACAGAGCCTGATGTTGTAAGAAAGGATCCCAGTCCATCCTCTAAAAGTAAAACTATGTTCTTTTTAGCCTGTGATTTTGGAGTCGCTCTGCCACTTGGAGTGGTGTTTCTGCTCTTGTTCTCCACAGAATCCATCTGAACTGGCCTTAGTCACCCTGGGCTCAAATTTCAGTTAGGAAAGGTAGAGTATTATTGCCACCTATTGTCATCAGTTCTTCTCTCTGCTTCCAACAAGTGAGAGCTTCTCATAGGAAAGTTAAGAAGTAATGTGACCCAGTGCCCTGGCTCATGCCTGTAATCCCAGTACTTTGGGAGGCAGAGGCAGGTGGATCACCTGCGGTCAGGAGTTCAAGACCAGCCTGATCAACATGGTGAAACCCCATCTGTACTGAAAATACAAAAATTAGCCAGGCGTGGTGGTGGGCACCTGTAATCCCAGCTATTCACGAGACTGAGGCATGAGAATTGCT